TCCTGGTGAGCACCCCGGGAGACCGCTGGGGATGGCTCAAGAATCAGGGTCCCTGCCACCTGCCTGTCAAAAAAAAAAAGTATATGGGCTATAGCTGGACTCCAGCTAAAGTGATGACCAAAGGGAAATTTATATCTGGACTTGCTTGTATTTTTTTAAGAAGGAAGAAGTAGAGAAACAAAACAAGACTAAGCCAAAATGAAATGGAAGAAATGAAATAACAGAAGATCAGAAACAATGTCAAGTTAAACTAAATTGAATTAAAATGCAAACCATGGAATAGATAGTCAACAAAATCAGTGTTGGCACTTTAAAATTCCAAGTTTAAAAAAATCCCTGCTCAAGCTGACTTGCCCCAAATGGTAGAGTTAGAAACATACCAGGGGACTCCAATTTAATCCCATCAAGGTGGCATGTACCAATGCCATCTCACCAGTCCAAGTGATCAATTTCAGTTCACAATTGATCATAATGAAAGGACTAAGAGTCAAAGGAAGCACATAAACAAGAATAGTGTCTGCAAATACTAGCTGATAGAATAAATGAAGGGGAGAGTGATCCAACATGGGAAGTGAGATACTCAGCAGACTCATAGAATGGCAGATGTCCTAAATAGCACTCTGGCCTCAGAATCAGCCCTAAAGGCATTCCGATCTGGCTGAAAAGCCCATGAGAGTATTTCAGGCATGGAAAGCCAAGACACTCTGGCAAAAACAAAAACAAAAACACCCTAAATGAAAGATCTCTGTGAGTGAGATCCCAGTGGAAAGAACAGGTCATCAAAGAAGGAGGTACCTTTCTCTGAAGGGAGGAGAGAACCTCCACTTTGAATATGACCTTGTCTAAACAAGATAAGAGTCGGTGAACTCAAAAGGATTCCATAGCCTTGGAAACTCATGACTGGTGCATAGGGAGATTACTGATGCCATAAACAGGAGTGTCAATTTGTAAAGTCAACAACAGGAGTCACTGTGCACTTACTCCTCATGTAGGATCTCTGTCCTTAATGTGCTGTACATTGAGACTTAGTGCTATAATGAGCACTCAAACAGTATATTTCACTTTGTGTTTCTATGGGGGTGCAAACTGTTGAAATCTTTACTTAATGTATACTAAACTGATCTTCTGTATACAAAAAAAAAAAAAAAGAAGAAGAGAGAGAAATTATCAATTCCCAACTTGACTCTCACTGGGATTAAACATGACAATAGGTCTGATCTGATTTCATCATCATTTAAAAAATCATCTATTATGTTTCACTTTATGTTTGTGTGGGAGTAAACTGTGAAATCTTTACTTAATGTATGCTAAACTGATCTTCTGTATATAAAGAGAATCGAAAATGAATCCTCATGTGAATGGAAGGGGAGAGGGAGTGGGAAAGGGGAGGGATGCAGGTGGGAGAGATGATATGGGGGGAAGCCATTGTAATCCATAAGCCGTACTTTGGAAATTTATATTCATTAAATAAAAGTTAAAAAATAAAAAATAATAAAAATAAAAAAAAATCCCTGTCAAGGAAATGAAAGAGGGAGGTAAGAAGCAACAATATTCGTAATGAACAGGGAGACTGAACTGCAGATGTATCATCAACAGCTTCGTAGCAATACATTTTTTTTTTTTTTGACAGGCAGAGTGGACAGTGAGAGAGAGTGACAGAGAGAAAGGTCTTCCTTTGCCGTTGGTTCACCCTCCAATGGCCGCCGCACTGCGCTGATCTGATGGCAGAAGCCAGGAAGTTATCCTGGTCTCCCATGGGGTGCAGGGCCCAAGCACCTGGGCCATCCTCCACTGCACTCCCTGGCCACAGCAGAGAGCTGGCCTGGAAGAGGGGCAACCGGGACAGAATCCGGCGCCCCGACCGGGACTAGAACCCGGTGTGCCGGCGCTGCTAGGCGGAGGATTAGCCTAGTGAGCCGCGGCGCCGGCCTTGTCTAAGTTTTAAAATGTATTGCTACGGGCCGGCGCCGCGGCTCACTAGGCTAATCCTCCGCCTAGCAGCGCCGGCACACCGGGTTCTAGTCCCGGTCGGGGCGCCGGATTCTGTCCCGGTTGCCCCTCTTCCAGGCCAGCTCTCTGCTGTGGCCAGGGAGTGCAGTGGAGGATGGCCCAGGTGCTTGGGCCCTGCACCCCATGGGAGACCAGGATAACTTCCTGGCTTCTGCCATCAGATCAGCGCAGTGCGGCAGCCATTGGAGGGTGAACCAACGGCAAAGGAAGACCTTTCTCTCTGTCTCTCTCTCTCACTGTCCACTCTGCCTGTCAAAAAAAAAAAAAAAACTTAGACAAAGCACATGCATTCTGAGAAAAACATGAATTGCCATATTCAAGAGGAAATTTTTAAACATTAATCATTTGAGAAACTGAATTAATAGTTAATGTTCTGTCCCAGAAAGACAGTATCAGGCCCACATACATTTAGTCCGGTGAAACTAAACATTCCACTTAGTAGTAGCAATAACAACTTTTAACAATCTTACAGGAAAAAAAATGAATACAACCCAACCTGTTTCGTGAGGTAGGTATAAATGTGATATCAAAGAGATGCCTTCAAAATAAAAACATACTGGCAATGTGTAGTAATAATATATATACAAATATTCTAAAAATATTAGTAACTCATAGTAGCAACATAAAAATATATATTAAGATGAAGTTGTGCTATTTCATCACTGGAAAAATGTTAAATTATTACCTATTTGTGTATTTTCAGACTCTTTTCTATTTAGTTAAAATGTTTTTATATGACTTATTTATTTCTTTGAGAGGCAGAGTTAGAGGGAGAGAGAGAGGGAGAGAGGGAGGGAGAGAGATCTTCCATCTGCTGTTCACTTCCCAAATGGCCACAACAACCAGGACTGGGCCAGGCTGAAGCCAGGAGTCAGGAGCTTCTTCCAGGACTCCCACGTGGGTGCAGGGCCCAAGCACTTGGGATAGCCTCTGTTTTCCCAAGCGCACTAGCAGGGAGCCGGATCAGAAATGGAACAGCTGGGACTCGAACCTGTGCCAATATGTGGTGCCAGCACCACAGGTGGCAACTTAACCCACTGTGCCACAGCTCTGGCCCCATAATTAAAACATTTTAAGGATATAAAATTTTCTCATTAATTAGACCCCATTAATCTTAGAAATTTCTATTTCTTGATTTTAGAAGATATGCAATTTCAGCTCTGATTTCCTTATTGATTCAGAAGGTTTCAGTAATATATCCTCACTTTCCATAAAAATAAATAAAGATTTATTTATTTATTTGAAAGTCAGAGTTAGACAGAGAGAGGAGAGGCAGAGGCAGAGAGAGACAGAGAGGTCTTCCACCCGCTGGTTCACTCCCTAATGGCCGCAACAGCCAGAGCTGAGCCGATCCAAAGCCAGGAGCCAGGTGCTTCCTCCGGGTCTCCCACGCGGGTGCAGGGGCCCAAGGACTTGGGCCATCCTCCACTGCCTTCCCAGGCCATTGCAGAGAGCAGCCGGGGCTGGAACCAGTGTCCATATGGAATGCCAGCACTGCAGGCAGTGGCTTTACCCGCTACACCACAGCGCTGCCCCCTCCTACCGTTTTTAAGGAATTTTTCTCAATCCTTAGAATTAGGATGTTCATTCTCCCAGATCTATCCTCCAACGCTACAGTTTGATCCATGTCTGCCTCTGCATTTTAGCTCTCTGTTGTGGGTATTTCTTTTCAAGGGCTAATTCTGTGCCCAAGAGAACCCATTCTCTTTCTAAGTACATCCATTGAATTTTTAAATGCAGAAATCCAGGTATTTGGTTCCCAAAGTATTTTTAGTGCTCTGGTTTTATCTTCTTCGCAGTTCCCACGGGTGTGTCATCAGGCCCCCTTGCAGGAGTTCGAGTTCCTTTGCAGCCGTCCCGCCTGATCAGTGGGTCCTGCTCTCACAGGCCACACAGTCCCTTGAGCAGCTGGACATCACCTTTGCCTTTTGCACCTGCGCCTCGGCCCGGCTGCTGGAGCTTTCTCTGCGGGTGCCCTGCAGCCACAGCAGTTGCCACAGTGGTGGGCCAACTGGTGGTGGGCACAAAAACAGAAACCTATCGGCTTTAGGGTGCCGAGTCTGCCTCCTTTCCCTCGTCTCACCAACAGCACTCTCCCAGACACAGGAGGGGGACGGGGGGTGGGGGGGACCCACCAGGAAGCCTGCTCCCAAGCTCCAGCGGGGTCAGAGGAATCAGAAAGTCCCTCCCAGAGCTGCGGAGGAGGGCGGCACCACAGGATTCCTCCGCCTCTGACCCCTCAGAGCACTGTCAGGTCCACGGTCTTTGACCCTCAAGTTGAGTCAAGTTTGAAAACACAGTTCAAGAATCACCATCAGGGGCCAGCACTGTAGTGTAGCAGGTAAAGCCTTCGCCTGCAGTGCTGGCAGCCCATATGGGTGCTGGTTTGAGTCCCAGCTGCTCCACTTCCCATCCAGCTCTCTGCTGTGGCCTGGGAAGGCAGAAGAAGAGGGCCCCAGTGCTTGGGCCCCTGCACCCACGTGGGAGACCTGGAAGAAGCTCCTGGCTCCTGGCTTCAGATCAGCTCAGCTCTGGCTGTTGAGGCCATCTGGGGACTGAGCCAGTAGATGGAAACCACCACACACACACACACACACACCCGCCTCTTCTCTCTGTAACTCTGACTTGCAAGTAAATAAATAAACCTTTAAAAAAAATCACCATTATCAGCTCAGAGATGGAAAGGCCATTGGAGTGGCCAGGTGGAGGCATTTGCATGCACAGGCTCCTGGTCTCAGCCCGGCTGGAGTTGCGGGGACTCTGAAAAGACAGCACTGTGGGCCCTCCGTCCCTCTGCAGCTCTGTGGGGCGCTTGGTGGGGTCCCTGTGCCTCCAGCTTTGGGAAGAAGCAAACACTAACAGAGGAGGGGAAAGTCCAAGGTGCAAGTCACAAGTGTTAAGACTCCCTGCAGGAAAAACTTGGGACTGATGACAGCAGTGGAAAGAGCGGCACTGGGAAGCCTCGGTGCCAGCCCCCCGGGGGGAGGCCCTGGCCCTGCTCTGACCCCTGCAGCTGAGGGCTGACTCCTGCCCCAACCTGCCCTTCAACGTGGGACCAGAGACCAGGAGGAATTCTGCTCGGGTGGGGAACCATACATGAACTGTAATCACCTCTTTCACAGTTCTGCTTGAACACCTTTACTGAAGTGCAACGTACAACGCACTGCACACATGTGAAGTGCACAGTTTGATGCATTTGTACACTGTAAACTAGTGCAACCCTGTGGCTACTGAGTCCAGGTGTCACTGGATGGCTGGGTCCAGGTTCTTGTCTGGAACGCAGGAAAGAATTCAGACGAGCCATAGGTAAAGGCTAGCAGAAGACTAAGATCCATTTGCTTACAAAGCAAAAGTGGACACTTCCAAGAAAATACGGGCATGCTCAAGAGTGAGCTGCACCCAGTGAGGGTCAGGGTCACCACTTTATGTCATCTGGAGGCATGAGGGGTGGGCTCTAGGGTGGGGTCAAACTGAATATTCATAAGGGGCAGGATCTGAGTACCAACCATTTGCTTGCCCTTTTTTTAGAAATCTGGGAAGTATCATGGCAACAGGTGCATGATGGGAGTAGGAGTGTCAGCCACGGCAATTTTACTGAAATGCTCTTATAAGTCACTGAAGGCCACTGCAGGGGTGTAGTTGGCAGCCACATTGGTTGTTTTTGGCTGGCACCAGTTCTGGCAGGCAGAAAGTGTGCAGCAGGTGGGGCTGCCGGGAGGGTTCGCCCTCGCTAGGGAATTTATTTGCCCTCCAGATGTACGTGACTGATGCCCTCAGTCCACATCCTCAGTGTCGCCTGGGCCGTCATTCCCACCACGGCCACTGCAATCCGTAGGTGGCTCCTGCTGCCGTCGACGATGACATGTGCTTGTGCACCAGCCATGGAGCTTCTCTGGTGAAGCTGCTCTTCTGATTTTGCCCATTTTTCGGGGCATTTTTGTATTGATTTTAAGAGTTCTTTGTAATATTCTGGATACAAGTCCTTTATCAGAGTTGTAAATATTTTTCTTACGGTCTGTGGTACCGTTTTCCTCCCAGCTTTATGAAGGTAAAATTTATAAAGATGTATATGTGTATGGTACACAACATACGTGTATATGTACTTATATACGCGCACTGTGAAATGATTCAACGCACCTGCTTATCATATCCATCGCCTCACATATTTGTCTTTTTTGTGTGTGGTGAGAACATCTGAGATCCACTCTCGCAGCAATTTTAAGGCACATGTTACAATACATTAACTTTGTACCCCTGAATACAGCTCCCCAACTCCCAGCCACCTCAGCCTTGGTAACCACCACTCTCTGCTGCTGTTCACCCCCCTCTTTAGATCCCACTTAAAAGCGATACCCTGCAGTGCGCATCTGTCTGTGCCTGGCTCATCCCCCGTAGCACAATGTGCTCCAGGTTCCTCCACACTGATGCGAATGACAGCATTACTTCTTCTTAAAGGCCGACTGGTATCTGAGTGAGTGAGTGAGTGTGAGTGTGAGTGTGGCTGTGAGTGTGCATGTGTGTGTCAGTGTGTGTGTGGCTGTGTGTGTGTGTGAGTGTGGCTGTGAGTGTGCATGTGTGTGTCAGTGTGAGTGTGTGAGTGTGCATGTGTGTGTGTCAGTGTGTGTGTGGCTGTGTGTGAGTGTGAGTGTGAGTGTGGCTGTGTGTGGGTGTGGCTGTGTGTGGGTGTGAGTGTGTGTGTGGCTGTGTGTGAGTGTGCATGTGTGTGTCAGTGTGTGTGTGGCTGTGAGTATGTGGGTGTGTGTGTGGCTGTGAGTGTGTGAGTGTGCGTGTGTGTATCTCACGTTTTCCTATTCATTCATCTGGCGACTGTCACTTAGCTTGGTTCATATCGGGGCTCCTATGAACAGTGCTGTGATGAACACGTAAGCATGGCCACCTCTCCAACATACTGGTCTCATTTCCTTTGAAGTGGGAAGGCTGGGTCACGTGGTAGTTCTAGCTTTGATTTTCTGCACAAACTTCACACCATCTTCCACAGTGAGTATGCTATCTACACTGTAACAATGCCTCCCTGTTCTTCACATCCTCCAACATCACTGTTTTTTATGTAACAGCCATTCTAACAGGTGTGAGGTGACAGCCCATTATGGTTTTAATTAGCATTTTCCAGATGACCAGTGATGTTGGGTATCTTTTTCCACATTATTGCTGACCATTTGCATCTTTGGAGAAATTTCTTGTTTCAGTCTTTGCTCATTTTTAAATCTGTTATTCATTTTCTTGCTACTAGGTTGCTTAGTGTATTAATCCCTCAGGCTGTGAATGGTCCGCCAAGATCTCTCATTCCATAGGCTGTCGGTTTGTTCTGTTGGTGGTCTTCTTTGCTGTTCTGAAACTTAGGTTCCATGCGATCCAATCTGTGTATTTTTGCTTGTGTTGCGCATGCACTTGGAGCCCTTACAGCACTTCTTTTTCAGTGTTGGAGGAGGTTTAGATTATGAATACTTTCTCCTTTAACATTTTATGCCATTTAAAGCTTATTTCATGGTCATACATTCCTTTAATAATAAAAAGCAATAAAATTTTATAAAATACAATGGCTACTGCTGATCCCATTTCTTCTAAAGTATATGGAACAAACTGAGCTCCTGAGAGAATTTCTGTGCATTGCGCGTGGGCAGGGGCTTGCTGTTCTAAGACATGAGAGTTTGACTGAACTAATCATTTTGATAGCAAACCCAGAAGATAAAGTCATTTGGATACCAAAGATGCAGGTAATTGGAAATAGCTGCCATACTAAAATATTTAGCATTTTTTGACTTAGCCTTCCCCAGTTTAGCTCTTACTAACTGGATTCAGAATATTAACTTATCAGAAAATTATCTGGTTTACTATACATAAAAGCAAAAAATGTATATGGCCTGATTTAATAATACTTTGTCTTCCTCCCACTCATTCATCAGACTAGGTACGTAGCTGTCCACAGATCCAGTCAACCGTCCGTCCATCTACCCAACACTCACCCACCCCTCTACCCACCTCTCCATCTCCTCTCCTGCCATCTCTCTATTAAACAAAGACACTGAAAACAGGCATCATGATGTGCCCCCTGGGAGATGTATCAAGACAACGCGCTGAACCTCAAGGATTTTACATTGCAATTGAGCAAACAGTAGACAATGTGACATTGGAAATAAAACAGTTATAATGGGTTGATTTTCAATCCTAACAGATTAATAGTCAAAGAAGCGACACATCAGGACATTGAGAAGGAAATAGTGTGGGATCTGTCTAAGCAGGTCTTTCAGAAAATGAGAGTCCGCCGCATGCATAAATAAATACGACACAGGTTGTTTTCAGGATAAAGTAAAATAATTAAAGGAAGTAGAAAACAAGGAAAACAGGGGAGCCAGGGGTGCCTGCCCTGCACAGGTGACACCTGAGGAGAACACCATGGCACCGGCCCTGCAGAACACCAGGACACCACGTTTTCCTAGAGGGCGCCAGTCCCTGTGGTTGCTCCACGCTCACAGCAATGGCACGTTCCTGAGCGGGAAAGTAGTGAGGGGACAGTCGACAGCTGGCTTTCTCTTTAAGGTGCTACCAGGCTCATCTCTTCCAGTGTTCATTACGTATTCGTGAGCCACGTTGCCCATCTTTCATTCTTTATTGTATTCAGGGAAGAAAAAAACCACATAAAACCATTTTCCTGGCTGAATGGGAGAAATAATTTAAAAGCCAATATGTTAGCCTGGCAGCTTGTCTAACAACCACAAGGCTCTCTTCAGAACAATAATGAAAGTCGCTCTTTCATTATGATATAAATTATTCATTCACTCCTTGGCACCAGGTGAATGTTTATGTTGATAGGGAATGAGAACTGAAGACAATTTTGCTGTTTCAGAAGTCACCTCCCATTAGCTTGTCATACCTTCACCAGGAGAGGAACCCACTGCACAGCTGCGAGCGACACTCCCCACTTACACCAAGGAGAGATGGCTCAGGAAGGTCCAGCCCGTGTTCACGCTGAGCAACCGAGCGGGAGTGGATGCCTCGACTCAGGGGGACAGCACCTCCTTCACATGCCAAACTCGGGGATCCGTGTCTCCATCTCTCTGGGGTGCAACGGAAACGCAAGCACCTTGCATTCCCAATGCAAGCGCTGAGCGAGACGCCCACGTGGTTCCCCCACTGATCCTGACACCACTTCCCAGCCTCCGTGTGCACACTCCCTTTCCAGCATCCTCACCCGGACGCCACGAGGTCGGCACGGCTGCTTCTTGGTGCCTGCCCTCCGCTCCCTGGCCTCCACCCCTCTGTGACACGCAGGGGACGAAACTGCTCATCAGCGTGCTACGTCCGTCTGCTGAATTCTGCCCATTATTATTTGAGGGTGGTGGTATTTCCCGTGCCGTTGGTGTGTGTTTCTCTGATGAATGATGATACTGAGCACTTCTCCACATATTTTTAGCCCTTCGGAGACTTTGTCAAGTCCTGGTTCACACATCCGCCCATCTGTGCATTTGTTGGTAGCTCTTCACACCCAGGTGTACTTCCAGGAATCTGAGGGTGTTTTAGGGTCCTTCTCCCAGTCCAACCCCTATCTTTTCCCCTCTTCCAGTGTCTTTCGACGCACAGCCTCTTGCTCCACCTGTGCTGTGCCACCGCACACTGAGCTATGTGGTTTATAAAAGGGAGCAGTCTTTTCTCGCAGTGTAGACGCTGAGGTCCAAGACCGAGTTACCGGTAGATTCAGAGCCTGCTTCCAAGACGTGGTGTCTCCCATGGCAGAAGGCAGAAGGGGCAAACTCTGGACCAACTCTTATCAGAGCTTTCATCCCATCCACATTGTGAGAGCCCTGAATCCGCTTGGGTCTGAAACCCCGCCCCGCCCCCCCCTTTCCTGGCGACAGGAAAACAAAAGCACAGAGGGGCCATGCACCTGCAGAGCCTCACCCTTCCCACAGGTTGTCTCAGCTGCTAATCAGGGAGATATCCTGGGCCTCCCGGTCCCTATCACTGCCCGGCTATGAATCAGGCAGCCCTGGAGGCTCTGTGTCAGGGACCCCGTCTCACCACATCTGGGATCCTCCCCAGCTGCTCCAGCCACACCCCACATCCCTTTGTCCCGCTGCTCCACCTCATCTCCCACCTGTCTCCCTGCTCCCTGATGAAAGTTCCCGTAAAGCCCAGCCCTACACACGAGCCCCCATCTCCTCCCGCTCTGAGGCTGCTCCTGGCCGTTCTTGCCCTAATAACACTCGCAGCGTGGCCTCGGTTGCCGTTCTCGGTTGTGGTTGAAGACCCTAACACACGAAGGAGAGGCCCCCGGCCCAGCCACCCCTAAAAGGCCCAGCCCTCAGCACCGTCACGTCGGAAACACCTGCACTGTAGAAGGGATGGATTCAAACCGCAACATTCAGAATTCTCATGACGTCCGTCAAGGCTGCTGTTCTTCCCTTTACAGGCGCTTCTATGTCCCGTCCTTGCTAACAAATTTCCCTCTCTCAGTCCCTGGGAAACCAGAAGCAAAACAACTTCCGTGTCCTGCCATCACCGAAACTGCCCTCTATCACCTCCTCTGCCCCTCTCCAGTCGCGCTGGGTGGGTCTTCCCAGCTCCGCCCTGGAGCCACACCACCCCTCTCACCGACTTAACCCCTTCTCTCCTTATGACTCGGCAAGTCTTCCCGCTCTACTGCACCGTCCTGATCTACTCACCTGCTCTAACGTCAGGCACAGGATGTCAGGATGCCCCGAGGCACAACGGCAAAGACTAGGATCTTCCGTGGAGGCTCACAGAAAGGTCGTTTGTAAGGCAAGGGTGGGGTGTAGAGAACCCTGGAGGTGATGTTGCGGCCTGGCCTGAGTAACAATGGCACCATTCCCAAGCCAGGTCCCTCGTGAGGGGAGAGATCGCCGGCACCCATAGGAGCCAGCGAGCAGAATGACCACTGTGAGACGTGGCCCAGGGCTCCCTCCCACAGGAACTCACTTCTCCTCCGTGCCATCGGTCTCCAGCGGGCTCTGCATTAACCCTGGAGGTTTGGATGGTTGGTGTGGGTAGTCCACAGGGGCAGCCTCCCGGGGGAAGAGTGGAGATGGATGGGAGGGGCTCTAAAGCCACTGCAGAGGCCACCCTCACCTCCTGTCCCTTCTTATTGTACAAACAGGGCAGCTCTGTGCCCCACACAAGGCCCACAGAGGTCCACAGCCTCTGTATCAGTACACAGTCGGTTAATTCACTCATTCTCCTACCTGAAACCTAAAGTAGCATTTCCAGCTCTCTGTGTAGAAAACGAGAGGGCGGGCACAGAGAGGAAGTGGTCACAGCCGCAGCCTCCACACTCAGGGCCAGTACCTAGACTGAGCTCTTTGCCTGCCCTTTCTCGTCTCTCATTCCTGGTGTTTCATGGCTTCTGCCAGCACCTTGGCTGCATGACGTCCCCCACAGGGAGACGTGACCTCCAACCCCCTTCCTGTTGAAGCTCTGTGCTTCATGGTGGTGCCCACACTGGGCTGCCCAAGCTTTCCCTTGACCTGTCCTACTGGGCACAAAGTGTTCAGGGGCACCCCCCTTGCTCTTTTGCATTGCAAAGTCGTTCTGCCACCTACCCTACAGCAGAAATTCCCCTCTGGGAATGGCCACACAAGTGCAATGACCCAACGCGAGGCCTGCTGGTCAGCGTGAAGAGCCCGGAATTGGAACGCCGGCTACGTCTTCCTGAGGAAGTGTTCCTTCCTCGGGCACCAGGGCCCCCACACTCACCAGGCCTGGGCCCTGGAAGCAAATAGAAATCAAGGGCATTGTTACTAGAGCAGACAGCACAAGGCGCTATTCTCCATTTCCCACTTGCTGCCCGGAGCCAGGCATTCTGGATACTGGACACAGCACCTTACAGCAGCTGTGAACTAGGAGTGGAACCGGGACTCAAACTCTTGCCTCTGAAATGGGATGTGGGCATCCTGAGCAGCATCTTAACGGCTCAAACACCTGCCCCAGTGTCGATTCCTCAGACTGACTTCATTTATGCCGGAATATTGTAAAGTAAGTGAATGACATCGTGACACTTCACTGCAGAAAGCTTTAGAAGGAGCCAGTGTTGGGGCACAGCAGGTTAAGCGGCTGTGTGCAAAGCTGGCGCCCGAAATCTACGTGCCAGCTCAAGCCCAGCCACTCCACCTCTATTCCACCTTCCTGAAATCTGCTAATGCGCATGGAAGACAGCAGAAAACGGCCCGGGAGCTTGGGCCCTGCCGCCCACATGGGAGACCCAGATGGAGTTCTAGGCTCCTGGCTTCAGCCTGGTTCAGCCCGGCTACTTTTGGGAAATGAACCAGGAGGTGGAAAATTTCTGTCTGTTTCTCCCTCTCTCTCTGTGTCATGGTGCCTTTCAAATAAATTAATCAATCTTTAATAATTAAAAAAACACCTTAGTATGCATCTCTAAAAATTAAAACTCTTTCCCTACTTAGCTAAAATAGTGTAACCGCACTTAAGAAATTGGAATTTCCTTATATGACTTAACTTTTCTATCACTGAACCACTTAATTTAAAGTTCCCTTAATACTCAGTCCATATTAAAATGTATTTAATTGAGCCAGAAATGTTCTTTCCACTTAATGGCACTTGCAATTTTTCTTTTCTCTTGGCTTGGTATTTTTTTAATTAAAAAAAAAAAAAAACTTTCTAAAAGTGCAAAATTGAATCCCAACATCTAAAATTGCATATGTAGGTAACAAAACTTCAAAGACAGCAAGTAAATTAAGGAGAGTGACTAACTTTGAAGAGAATAAAATTACTGCAATCAACCAGGTGCAACCAGAGGCTGCTCCGACCTGGCAGGGAACTCTCTTTCGACCCAGGTAACGGCTCCACAAAAGCTCCGTCACGAGTAGCCACCGGATTATCCCTATATGTTCATGCATTTAAAAACACAAGTGTACTCTAATACACGAACTGCTACACAAACTGTATTATACAAACTGCTATACAATGGTTAAGCTTTGTTATATCAAATTTAAAAGGAGAGAAAAATAGATCTCTAATGAAATTCTTTGGATTCACAATGACCAAATTTAAGTAAAGGTGGCTTTCGCCATGTGAGTCGCTAGCTTGGTTCAAGCAGTCGAGAGATATCCCCGAGGACCCATTTGTGAGGCTGGCGTTGTGAGAACGCGACACCTTGTTTTGGCAGACGGCAGCTGACCTATGCCCCCCAGTTCTGTGTCTTGCTCTGCCTGGTGTTCTAAATGATTCCCGTGCATCATAACATTATTTTCACAGTTGTCTGCTCGTTTTAGAAAGATTCCAGCAGACACACTGGACGACTCGGGGAGGAAAGTGTTTCTTGATCTCTGGTGAAAGGAAAGCCCTCTGGGTTCTCCCCGACCTCCAAAGTCCCCTCCCCCACCCCCTCGCTGGAGCCTCAGACTCCCTACAGCCTGCCAGGCAAGTCCCCGTTCGCCCACTATGAAAAATCCCGGCCATCACTGGGTTTGTGCCTGGTGTCTGCACCAAGCTGTTGATGCCTGACTCCTCCGTGGGACACCTTGGCAATAGCAGTGAGCCCTGTGTTCCAGACTTCCTGCCCCAACTCCCTTAGGAGTCACCCCCAGGCCTCCCCACCCCGGGATCTTGTGGTCCCTCAGTGCTTTTGGCCTACTGGCCATCTCTGCTTGACCAGGCCTTCTGTTTGGCCCTCCGAGGGGTTCAGACTCTTGTACCTGCCCAGGAGCAGTAAGAGGGTCGTGAGGGGTCCTGTGTGGGAACAGAAGTCATGGAGCAAAAGAAATGCAAGTCCTCCTGACACAGAGGATGAGTGGGCCTTGCCCAGGCCAGCCCCGTCCTCTCCCCTGTCTCTCAGCACCCTCCCGGCCTCGCCTGCAGTACGCGGCAGTGGGGTCACCTGCTCTGTCAGCTGACAACCAGCCCCTGATGGCTGCTTAGTGAAACCCCACGAAGACCCTCCGCCTCTCCCTGTGTGCTCCTTGCTGGGTACCCATGCCCGTGCCTTCTGCTGGCCCAGGACCAAGGTCGGCAGCCTGAGGGCTGCGCCATGGTCAGCATCACTCTGCTGCTGTCCTGCCTGCCGTCCCTCCCTCCTGCTACTCCCCCACAAGGCCACTGCAGGCCCGGGAAGCCCATGGGCATCATCACCACGTCCCTCCTGCAGCGATGAGACGGCCTCTGCTCCTGCAGAGGGTGAGAGATTGCAACCGGGCATGCCAGTCCCAGGGCCCGCTTCCTCGGAGCCACCGAACGTCAACCCTCTTGTATTCCTGTGAGTCTGCTCCAAGCCACCACCGCTGTGGGCCTTCTGAGCTCGGCTGTTTCCTGCCAGCCACCTGCAGTGTAAGTCACGCAACAGGTGGCTGGGGGTCTCCAGTTTTCCAGTCCACGTAGGGGATAGAGTCCTCCCAACTCCAAAGAGGGCAAGGAACGTTGCTCTTTTTGTTTTTCATCAAAACAATGTTTATGTCCAGGATTTAACTAGGCAAGTGCACAGGAAATACACTTGAACTTATTAAGTCCTAGTGCAGAATGAATTTTTTTTTACAAAAAGAATTATTTATGTATTTGAAAGTCAGAGTGTACAGAGAGAGAGAGAAATAGAGGAAGAGACAGATGGACAGGTCTTCCATCTGCTGGTTCATTCCCCAATGGCCACAAGTACCTGAGTTAGGCTGGTACAAAGACATGGCCAGAAATTCTTCCAGGCCTCCCACGTGGGTACAGGAGCCCAGGGACTTGAGCCATCTTCTACTGCTTCCCCAGGCCGTTAAACAGGGAGCTGGATTGGATGTGGAGCAACTGGAATTCGAACCAGAGCCCATATGGGATGCTGGCATCCCAGGCAGTGCCTTCAGCTACTATTCCACAATTCCAGCCCCAGAATTATATTCTTGATGAAGAAGCCAGTTCCTCCCAGGAGCCACCATCTACACACTCAGTTATAGCATTTATATCAAATCTCCTGGCCAAAGAAAAGATGCTGATGTCACGTGTTCACGGAACCTTTTCAGTCTCCAGTTGTTCACACTTTCTATTGAGGGCTGATTCTGAGCCCAGCACTCTGTATACGTGATTATTGGTCGAGTTACAATGCTGGGAAATCCACATTACGTCATCCTCAGGCTGCAGAGCCAAGTCTCAGGGTGGCGGAGTGACGGGCCTGGGCGCTGGCAGCTAGCAGGTGCCAGAGCAGAAGTCCCCGTTCCCTCACCAGCTCCAGGAGGTCCCGGTGGTGTTATTAATAACGATGACGAGGACCGGGGCAGGGCATCGGCGAGCAGCATTTCCCATTCGTGCCCAGACACTCGGCTTCCACTCCCAGTCCATCCCCCTCAGGATAGATTTTCAATGAATGAGAAGTTGTCCTACACATGGGATCTTATCCCTCTGTCCCTGCCTGGATCACATCAAGCCCGGCTGAATCCAACACCAGGACTTCTGATCCTGCTTTGTGAGCTTCAGAAGGTCAGAGGACAGATGTAAAAAGTTGCAGTGTGATGAGGCCGTGACTGGGTCTCCAAATGCCACCTCCTACATATTAACCACGGATCTAGGAATGCACAGTCTATCCAAAGCGTAGTTTCACCTACAAACACAGATAAGCATCAGGTTAGTATCTGCATTGAGGCCTGCTCTGTTTTATTAACATCAATTTCAATGACTCCTTCCCACTGACCCCCAAACAAAATCTATAGGCTAAAGATTAAAAGAAAAAAAATCTCATGTGCTGTACCCTACAGGGTTTTGTCATTGAAGTTCTGGGGAAGCTGTCTCCTTACTGTAGTGCTTTGAAGTCTCAATAGTATGCAGTACACTTTGATTCTGTAATTGGTCTTACAGAGATAAGAAAATTGAGTTCACAGTTATTTTTATCCCTTTTGAAATTATATGGTTCTGCTGCTGCAAATAACCAGCATTTCATTTCCATCAACAGGAACCTACGAGAGACGACTTTGTCCCTCATTTCTGTCAGTCCGTGGGAGCCTGACCACATGCTCACCTGCAGAGAGGGTGGGCAGGGGGACTTCTCCACGGCGAGCAAGGAGCTGGCAGCCCAGGCTCCCGCCCGTCACAGCGGCACACGACTGCTCTTTCCTCTCTGCGTCATTAATGGAAACAGCAGGATCCAGTTGCTAAGGTGACGTCAAACAAGAAAGCTGGTTGAGAGCCAACAATTCCTAATTGGACTAGAAGCTACACAAGCTGTAAATCAGGGCTGGGACACAGACCAAGTGTCCCTCTGTCTATGGAAACATTCTCTCAGCAGCAAAAAGAGCGAGAGTGACACTTGGTGGCCGGGACAGGGAGCACAGAGGACCGAGCCGCGGGGAACACTCTCCCCACCAACCAGAGCACCACGCTGCTCAAAGACAAAGGAGAGCTGTGTCTGCAGGAAGAGGTTCCATCACTCCTGCTGCGGCTGGGCCTGAGTATCAGCAGGGACCCTTTCAGCAGACGTTCGGAATGAACAGCTGTGAGTTGTGCAGAGAACGGCAATTCCGAGAAAAGCAGCCCAATCATCGGAAGAGAATTCAGGGAGGCATTAAACGTCTGGACTAGACCTCCAGCGATGGGTAACGACTTGAAATGAACTTGAACTTGGCCGGGCTTCCCTACCCCCTGAACGTAGGTTCATTCTTCCAGCGTAAAGGCTTCCCACACTTGTTCAGACCAAAACCTGCCCTTTTAAGATTGCTCAGCAGAACCAAGCTCATTTCCAGTCACTGAACTTCATTATCTTCTATCAGTTAACACCCAGATCAAAGACAGAGTCCAAAGTATTTATCCAATAAATGCATGCATAGATGGCTGACAAGGTACAAGCAAATGTAAACCAGAATGGCTTATATAAACAACGTCCCAAGTAAGGGAGAAGAGAGATAAACAAATTTTTAAAATATACCTTTCCAGGGCCGACACTGTGGCACGGCAGATTAAGCGGCAACATACATTGCCAACAGCCCATTTCTGAGTGCAAGGCTGATTCTCGGCTGCTCTGCTCCCATCCAGATCCACTGCAATGCACCCGGGAAAGCGACAGATGACGGTCCAAGTACGTGGGTCCCTGCCACCATGCGGGATGCCAGGCTTCAGCCTGGCCCAGCCCTGGCTGTTGTGGCCATTCAGGAAGTGAACCAGTGGATGGAAGATCTGTCTTTGTGTCACTATGTTTATTTAATTTATTTGAAAGTCAGAGTGAGAGTGAGAGTGAGAGAGAGAGATCTTCCATCTCTCAGATGGCTCACTCCCCAAATGGCCACAATGCCTGGCCAGGCCGTGCCAGAGGCAGGAGTCAGGAACTTCATCTGGGTCTCCCACCAGGGTGCAGCGGCCCCAGCATTTGGGTCATCTTCTGCCGCTATCCCAGGTGCATTAGCAGGGAACTGGATCAGATGAGGAGCAGCCAGGACTTGAACCTGTGCCCACATAGGATGCTGGCATCACAAACGGCAGCTTAAGCCGCTACACCACAATGTCAGCCCCAACAAATCTTTCAACTAGACACACACACAGACCCACACCCTTTCCCAGGAATCGCAGGAAACAAGAGTTTGAAAGGCACAGTGAGACAGACCGTTGTCCGTGGGCACATGGTCACAGGTGCTGGGAAGGTGTCCGGGTGAGTTTGCAGGTGCTAACTCCTGAGGGTGTCTGGGCATGCAGGCCTGGTGGTGGCTTTCAGCCTTGGCTACACAGTGGATTTGCCAGAACAGGTGGCAAAATGCTTTTATCCAGGCTACAACCCAGGCCAATTAATCAGAAATCCTGAGGGTGAGCCCCAAGAAAAAAACCTGTATAAAGGTCCCATAGCTGCTTTTTTTTTTGATAGAAATGATATTATTTTTATTACCTATATTTCTTATTTTTAACTTTTATTTAATAAATATAAATTTAATACATATAAATTTAATATAAATAAAAATAATATAAATAAATAAATACAGCTTATGGATTACAGTGGCTTTTTCCCCCAATAACTTCCCTCCTACCCACAACCCTCCTATGTCCCGCTCCCTCTCCCATTCCATTCACATCAAGATTTATTTTCAATTATCTTTATATACAGAAGATCAATTTAGTATATATGAAGTAGATTTCAACAGTTTGCACTCACACACAGAAACACAAAGTGTAAAGTACTTTTTGAGTACTAGTTATAGCATTAATTCACATTGTACAACACATTAAGGACAGAGATCCTACATGAGGAGTAAGTGCACAGTGACTCCTGTTGTTGGCTTAACAAATTATTTTTGTGAAAATACCTGACAGAGGGCCGGTGCCGCGGCTCACTAGGCTAATCCTCCGCCTTGCGGCGCCAGCACATTGAGTTCTAGTCCTGGTCAGGGCGCCGGATTCTGTCCCGGTTGCCCCTCTTCCAGGCCAGCTCTCTGCTGTGGCCCGGGAGTGCAGTGGAGGATGGCCCAAGTGCTTGGGCCCTGCACTCCATGGGAGACCAGGAGAAGCACCTGGATCCTGGCTTTGGATCAGCGTGGTGCGCCAGCCACAGAGCGCCAGCCGCAGCGGCCATTGGAGGGTGAACCAACGGCAAAGGAAGACCTTTCTCTCTATCTCTCTCTCTCACTGTCCACTCTGCCTGTCGCCTGTCAAAGAAAAAATACCTGATGGAGACCACTTCTGAACAGCCGGCTGTCTGCCAGGCTTCCTTCAAGGGCTATGACTTGGAGCCGGCAGCTCACGCAGACTCTGGGGCCCTTCCCAGGGACAATAGTCCTCCCTCCACATGGACCAGAGGTGCTGAGTGCTTCTCTCTCATCTCACAGAACAGGACGGAGGGTGTGTGTGTTGACATTTCATATGACTGAAATGCACGAAGACATCCTCAAATGTGGCCAGCACATGTTCACCTGCACGTAGACTGGCCACAGCTACAGCCCCTCTGCACCATCAGTGTGAAAACTGACCACAGCTACAGCCCCTCTGCACTGTCAGCATGTGGGCTGACCACAGCTACAGCCCCTCTGCACCGTCAGTGCATGAACTGACCACAGCTATAACCCCTCTGCACCTTCAGCATGTGAACTGACCACAGCTACAGCCCCTCTGCACTGTCAGTGCATGAACTGACCACAGCTACAGCCCCTCTGCACCGTCAGTGAAAACACACAAGCAGTGAAGGAGGCAACAGTATCTAATAATCAGGACGGTGTCTGGCCCTGGCAGGTCCCCCGTGAAAGTCTTGGCTTTGAGAATCTCTGCCGTGGTATGAAGGTGGGAATACCTCAACACCTCAGCTACTCCTCCCACTTCCTTACACAGGTGTAGCAGGAAGCCAGGAAAGGAGCTATTACCCCTGAGAATTCTGACTCCATGTTAAAAGGGTGTTGAAAAAAAAAAAAAAAAACCTTTTCACTGAGAAAAACAGAAGGAATTCTGCATGCCTGAACCATCACGCTCTTCTGAAACTCCAGCCGGGAAAATCCCAGGCTCCGTAAGATATCCCAGTACTCAGCTGCTGTCCGATCTGAAGGCGTGTCGACTCCAGGGCTGTGTGTCCTGGACCCCGGTCACCTGCCAGGGAGGTGTCAGGACTCAGCATGTAGGCAGGGCACACACAGACCATTGGTGTTGGGCAATGCTTAAAATACAGAATTCACCATGGCATTTAAATGGTAAAATATTTGAAAACTAACAAGAGTAATACATGGTCCAAAATCACAGAATATATTTCATAGTGCACAGAAGAAACAACCCAAAACTTAACTGGAAAAACATGTAATATAAGGTCTTTGCTGTCTGTACCTTTAAGCAGAAGGTGAGAGAGACCTGGTGTGACCAGAGTTTGTGCCTGCATTCACGACGTGTGGTATCAGATGGAGGGAGGTACATTTCGCAGCATGGGATGCGCCACACAGGTCACAGCAAGCGTCAGGAAATCACAGCCTGTTTGTTGTGCATGTTTAGGTTTTAATAATGGCAGATACAGCTCCGCGATTTGGCACAAAGACTGGCCAGGTCAGGTGACAGTGTCATGTCGTCTGGGCTGGTGCTGGCGGCAGCGAACACAACACATGGAAACGATCCTCTGTCTTTAAAAATGGAAAAGAAAAAAAAAAAAGAAAGAAAAGCAAGCATGGTAGGAAACAGCAGCTCCTGTGGGATAAGTTTGACTTTGACGGTATTCAGAACACTGGGGACTAAAAGATGCAAGGTGTAAGACCCAGAAGACAAATCCCATGATACAAGCAACAGAACTAGGGGCTGGTGTCTGATCAGTGCTGGGAACGTGCCCACTGCCAGAGCGCTGTGACCCGCAGAGCCAGGATTCCAACCCACGCATGACCCCGACAGAGCTCAGGAGCCTCTCCCACGGTGAGAGTGCAGCACGCCTGGGTCCTGGGAGCCATGAGGAGGACTTGCCCATACATGGACAGGGTGCAATGGCGAGAGCTGGAATGAGCGCGCTGAGCCCCGTGCAGCCGTGGGAGACTTTGGCACGCAGTGAGACTCTGGCGTCCTTCTGCAAGGGGGACGATGATCTGATTACTCGTCCTGGCAGGCGGCCTGCCATTCAGCTCTACGCAGAAAGCCAAGTGTACAGGAATGGACCATGTTTGGCCAAGC